ACCGGGAGGGAAAATGGCGCTGCCTGAAGCGCCCCGCCCTGCCCCGCAGAAAACTCGGGGAGCGACAGAGGTGCGGGGCGTTTCTTTGTCAGGGGGAAACCGTGGTGACGGGAACTGGGCTTGTTTAGTGTGGAGGAGGCTGAGGGGAGACCTGATCGCTCTGCAGCTCCTGGCAGGAGGGGGCAGGGAGGGGGGTCGGGCTCTTCTCCCAAGTGACAAGCGATAGGACCAGAGGAAATGGCCTCAAGCTGCGCCAGGGGAGGTTTAGATAGAATCTTAGAATCATTCAGGTTGGAAAAGACCTTTAAGATCATCCAGTCCGACCATTAAATTAATAATATCCAAAAGATTGGATATTAGGAAGAATTTCTTCACGGAAAGGGTGGTCAAGTGTTGGACCAGGCTGCCCAGAGAGGTGGGGGGGTCCCCATCCCTGGAGGGGTTCAAAAAACGGGCAGAGGTGGCACTTGGGGACGTGGTTTAGTGGGCACGGGGGTGTTGGGTTGATGGTTGGGCTGATGATCTTAGAGATCCTTTCCAACCTTAGTGATTCCTGGTTTTACTTCCATTAAAAAATACTCCAGCCACCAAGCCAGGAAGCATGAAATTGCTCCTCTCCCCTTAATTGGTTTAGTGGTGGAGTTGGCAGTGTTAGGTTACTGGTTGGACTGGATGACCTTAAAGGTCTTTTCCAACCTGGACGATTCTATTCTATGATTCTATGAAAAAGAGCCACCAAACTAATACTAAGTGCTTCAAGTTTAGCACATAGAAAATGAGGGCTCCGCTACGCTACCCAGTCACAAAGCTTCCTGTTATGCCACAACTTTGCTCCAAAAACTCCTTTCCCCGCTGAAGTAAGTTTTGCAGATTGTAAAAATGTCAAAAAACGAGTCAAAATTGGTCTCGATTCAACTCTATAAAATTTTAATGACTGCGCTCCTGTTAACTAAATATTTGAAACGGAAAAATAGCAAGAACTACATATGCTCTTTTTAAACAATAAATAAGCATTTTTTTTTAAACAAGAATTAAATACAAACTTTACACATCCAAAATACAATATACAACCTATTTCAAAAAGGACTCCTTGATTACAGAAACGTAGTAAAACCATATTATGAACCGCATGTAAGCTTTCCTATACAAACGGTAATGCTGCTCATCGCAGCTTTTTCTTCAAGTTCCACAGTTAGCTTATCGATTTTCTTACTTGGAGTAAGACGCCCGGCTCCATCATTTGACTAGATGGCCAGACAACAGAGGCTGGTGGAATCAAATAATTGGATTCGGTGGTGTTAGCAAATTAATTACCTTTCTCAAGACTGACAAGCGTGACTCTTCCAAAGATAGTGTTGAACTAATTTTACCTTTTCAGAAAGGCTGATAAGGCTGTAGTAAGATGTTAGACTTAAGCCATATTTTATCCAGTGGAGAACATTTTGTATCATCTGTCACCTTGCAAATGAACAAGTTGTATGGAGCGTCTCATTAAGACCACAACAGCATAAGTTAACAATATATACAAATAACGTTTTATCAGTTTTCTATAATGCAGAAAACAAAAGAGGCTTCCATAAAAAGGATTTCTTTGTTCTCAAACTTCACTTAGAAACTCAGCTTAACATACAGTTGTTCCGTAGCATTAGTAAAGTTCACTAACAAAAGACTTTGCTGTACGCCGTAAATAAACCGAAGTGTTCAACAGTTTTGTTGCCATTGTTCATGTGCTATTTAGTTGACTTTGTCTTTCAGTTTCAGCTTTCTTCTCTTGCCGGTGGTTAACTGCAGCCCAGAAGGTTATTTTTTTCAGCACCTGCTGCAAAAGTTTCGATGGCAAGCATGGTATTTGATTCTTTAAGAGAGATGCATTTTTACCAATGCAGTCAAGACACAACCTGAAGGAGGAGGAAAAAAAAGAAAAGAAAAAAAAGGAAAGATTTAAGTAAATAACCTAAAGACCTGTGTGTAAAAGCACAGTGCCCTAACAATTTACACCACTCTTTGTGCCAATAACCTCAACTCACCTGAGGAGTGAATAAGGTTGTGTCTGAAATATCAACAAGTCACTGCAGTGACCCTGATCAACAGAAAAAAAGAACCATTAAAATGACAAACAGCTCATCTCAGAAATACTGCTATTTTCTAGATTAATGTAACATCTATTACCACCTGCATAATTTAAAACTGAGAATACTTAAGTAATTACTTATAAAGAATCTGAATAACAAATTCCTTTTCATGAGCCTAGCAAGGGCAGGAGAAAACCCTCAGAAATTACTTTCCCAGAACACCTAAGGTCACATCTCACACCATCATATGACATGAATGAACCCAATAAGTATTGACAATTGTATCAACTTTCTTTCAATTTTAATTATTATAGTGCTAGGATTTCATTATTCAGTTTACTGACTGTGTCCATGAAATGCAAGTCATCTTTGCTTCCACCAAACACCATCACTTCTCCTTCTTTTCCAAGGCAGGCTGTATGCCACAATCTAGAAATAAAATTATAAACAGAATTAGTGACCCAGTAACAACAAGCAGTTGTGCGTTATCAGCCAAACAAATCTAACCCCTGAATTTTTTAAGGGTTTCAGAGCAGCAGTAAGCTTACTTGCATATTAACCACTTCACCTCCATTCTTCAAGTTTCGTTCTGAAAGACCCTTTTGCTATAAGGATGCAAGTTCCTTTCAACTAAAATGGAAAGGTCGCTCTTCTCATCCTGCGATTCCGTTACTTATGCACAGAGCCTTGAAGTCTTACTGGCCTCACTACTTACCCAGAAGAATTTTACAATTTTAAGTAATATATTTTACAAGTTGCTCTGTGAGCTGCAGAAACAATAAAGCCTGTTCTTTATCGACCCGAGTCTCAAGGCAGACCTTCCGTTTGTGTGGAAGAATGGAGAATAAGCACTGAGCCAAGCGATTACCGGAGCCTCTCTTTTCTGTTTGGCCATTTATTTGCACAGAGTATGTTGGGACTTAAGTACCTCTGAGCTTCCTACTTCTTTGTCAAATACTACTGAAATGGGTCAATTGATTCAAAATGTACGTGGGTAGGAGAGGCAGCCGTACGTGCACAGAGCACAGTAATGCAACCCTTACTTCTTAGAAAACCAAGACAAAGACATTATTTCAAAGGCCTTCAGAGGTAAAAAATAATACCTTAAAATATGGTATTACTCATTTCTTGAACAATATAAAAGGAGAGAGCAGTGTGACTATCCATCTCATGAAAATTTTGCTGAATGATTACATGTCATACAGAATATATTTTTGTCGTTATTTGACTTTTCTGTACTCTACTTACATATACTTTGTCTTATTTATCACTACTTCAACAAAACATTACAGTGGAAAATTTTTAGAAAACCAAATAACTACGCAAAACAAGCTCTTGCCAAGAACAGCTTTTCTTTTCCTTTTTTTTTCTTTTCCTTTCTTTTTCAATTTTCCACTATTTCTTTAATTCATACCTACAATTGTAAAGGCTTTACAATAGTGGGGTTTTCCGTACTGACTCTTATCCCTGAACACTAGGATGAGAGCTTCAGAACACAAGTTATCCTGTTTCAGTTTTACGCTTCCCCCAAAGATTCCTGGGGATCGTTTTCTGTGTGTCAATTACTCACATCACACCCACAAGTAAGTTTTGTGTTGTGCATGTAAAAGCACATGGTATAAAAAAACCAAACCGAAACCTGACTTGTATGATCTTGCTTTTACAGAAACAAAGATTCTGCTATTTCAGCAGCTACACCTTGCTAGATTTACTTTTTATTATTAGCAGATCAAAATGTGTAATTTTTCTATTGGTGTATCACCACCGAAGTAAATACCACAAGATGATTATCACCACAGAGCTCTGGCCCTTTATGTCTACTTAACCGAAATCATATGCACCACTAGAACTTTCATGCAAAAGTAAACGTTCTCACTTTCTTACTCCATTCACATCAGTAATTATTCACCGTTCTCCTTAGGCTAAACTGTATCCCACCTTTTCTCTTCCTCATACCTGTAGATAGATCTGTCTCTGCCTTATCTGCATTAGGACAACTCTGGCCTGGACTTCATCACCGAAGAACACTGGGAAGCCTTTCCTGCCTTGACTTTGTTGACATCCTAGCTCGCAACCTGATGCTTTTTCTACAGACTGACAGAGTTTACGTCCTCTCACAGCTGCTCTAACTTATCACCTAAACATTCTAATAAAGCATGTTATTTAAATTATACAGATGCTGAATTGACGTCACCTTTTTTTACACAGCTCTTCTAACTAGAATAACAGAATTACATTGTAATGAAAACACTGGGAATCTGTAAATTAAATGTACAATTTGTTCTGTATTTTAACCCGGCATGCAAAATGTTAGGTGAAGTACAACTGATGGACAGAAAGAATAAAAATAGTTTCTACCAATACGGAATCACAGATCTATAACCTGGAAGACAATTTTTTAGAAATTACTAAAAATGAAAGTTGAAGGAAATTATTCTTTACAAAATTTAAGGAGGGAATCAGTTTTGCAGAAGCATCAGGAAAATACACTAATGCGTGTGTGGTATACCATGTATTATTATAAAATAATAGAAATATGTAAAAGAAGTACACATATATGTATTATTGCCAGTGCATTTTACGTCCTGCAGTCAAGTCAGTCATACGAGTGACAGAACTGACTCAAACCTTTTTCAGCTGCAGAAACCCTGCAGTAGTAATCCTGTGTAAGAACAGTGATACAGTTATGGTACAAGTACGTACTTCACACTCAGACTAGTTCAATAGATAGACAGGCTTTTGGTATGGCTACTTTCATCCATGTTTCCAGGACTTCCTGAAAAAGGTTATTGAAGTATCTTTTTTTTTTTTCTTTTTTTTTTTTTTTAAAAAAAAAAAGGGGACAGTCATTTACTTCAATAAAGAATTAGGTCAATGAAAGGCAACTGTCCTCAGCCTACAAACTGTGCACCACAATCTTCAGATGGTGGAGAACCACAGGACACATTTGGACGTGAGGGAGCTCTGAGACTCTGGTCAGCACGTGGCCCAACAGCTCTGTTCTCAGGAGGGTCTGAGCTGCGTGCGCAGCAGAGTCCCCAGAAAATTTAGCAAATTTGTCAACCTCAGGAACCCTCTTTGGCGCTTCTACTGCAGCAAGGAAGGTGGCTTGCTCGACAGCCCCTCTGCCAGCACAGCCAAGCCACAGTTCCACTTTGTAGCCTTGTATGGGATCTGCCCTTGCATTGCCTGAAAGCCACTTGAGGCTCAAGAGTCCCAGGTTCCTAACATCCAGCCCTGCCGCCACCTGAAGCACAAACATTATTCCAGCTTAATTGCACGGTAAAGGCTGAGCTGCAGCTCCCTGGGCTGCTGCCTGTAGAAAGAGCACGTTCTGTCCCTTCCTGATCCTTTTTCATGATGCACACCAGTAAAAATAATTACATGAGGTGAGGCAGTCCACTTCAGCAGTTAACTTCTACGAGATCATCCATGTAAAGAACAGAACACGAAGAGAAACGTGATCCTTGACTGCTAATGATATACTCTGTTATTTAAGGCAGTCATCAGTCCCTTCATCAGTTCACTGATTGTAAAAAGACAGAAAATGTTCTATGAAGCTAAGGTGTAGGTTTATTTGGGCTCGAAAGAGTTTGAAATAGAAGCAAGCAGAAAACTTGGTCTAACAGTGCTGTTATATGTAAAAGACACACTAGAATAGGATAAAACAGGAAGAAAATTAATTGAGGTAAAGATATTTCAAGTAATAGAAAGCAGAACATAAGGCAGGAAGCATGCAAATGCCAGACCAGCATTGTACACTATGCTAAAAGAATGATATAAAATTGTGCTGAGAGTACCTGGGTGAATGTATGGAATAAATTCCATGAAAAACTGAGTATTTACTATCTACAGCAAATCAATTCAATAGTATTTACACTATAAATACAGAGAATGCTTCAAACACTTTGTTAAAAAGAAAAAAGTCTGTGCTCTGATACAGCAAGCACCTGTTTTCAATGGCAGCTTCTAAATAACCTCCAGGTTCAGAACAAGAAACTTGCTTTCTTTAGTCAGAAAGAATCAGTCTTTTTCTGTAGTCCTGAACTAGACAGCAAAGGGGAGGAGAGTCTGGACGAGACGGTATTGCTGCCAGTATGAACAATGCACATTCTAGAACTAGGTCCTTTTTGGTTGGCAGTTAAGTCCTCGAAACAACAAAACTCCACAGTCATTCACTGTTGAGTACTAAATTCAGTTTTGCAAAACTGTAATCATAATTAGCTGTTTCTGCTCAGGGAAGAAAACCCAAACAAACAAGGTATTTTATAATACTTTTGAATCCTGCAGGGTGCATTCACATTTTCATGGTCGTCTCCCCCATGTTTCTAATAATGTATCAACATTAATCAACTTTTCTTATTCTCATTGGTTATTAATTCCTCAAAAGTTATGTGATATACATCATCTTATATAAAAATAATTTGGCTATAGAACACCAGATTAGTTGGACACCCAGATCCTTCATCACAAAAAAAATTCTTATAATGCAAGTAAGCATTGACTATAACAAATACAGAAAGTAATAATGCTGTATCAGATATGAAGGAACATAAGTTAGTAAAGGAAAATAATCATACTGCATTAATTTTCTAAAATATTCTTATAATGTAGTTTAAAAATACTATTCAGTAATTTAAAATAACATAATATTTCAAAATGCCTAAATTTCAGCAAACGTTATCTATTTTTGTATACCTAGGCCTACTCTTAGGCAAATGGGTAAGTTGTTTCCATCCATTTGTTGTAATGTTGTGAATCCAGCCGTCACCTACAAACAAGAACATACATTAGTACTTTTTCTTGGGACAAAGTATTACCATTTTTATTTATTTATACAAAAAGCTCTGTGTTCTAAGAGGACATGATATTAAGATAACAGTAACATCATCACTATATTAACTTGCATCTTTTCAGTTTCTGTAATTTAACTTAACCATTCAGTCACAGAAACCTCACTGCATTGAAATCTGGAATTAAAATACACTTACTTTTTTTTGTTTTAGATATATTGAGAAAACAGGTCAATGTCCCTTTGAAAATCACCCCCTCCCAGTGGAATATATCTGTTACACTTAAAGCTGTTTTCACTAATTTCAAATTTTTTCATGAAAAGAAGTTGCCTTTTCTAGAAAAGGAACTCTGTATAAGACTATGCTACTTCCCATTTAACATTTTGTAGCTGTGATTTCTAACTCATCCACAAATCTACATTATGTTGACATTATTATTTGTATCTTCTTACTGCAGTTGCTATTGATATCAAAAGTTACCCCTTTTTCATATCGGAACGTGTGAGACTCTTGCCTTTATTCTTTTAGATGATCGACAGTTTGATGAAAGATTTATTATCATACACTCTCACTGTACTACACAACGTGCTCCTACATTTCTATAAAAATAACAAGATAGCTAGAGAAATATTCAAGTGACATGAAAATTCTGTAACAAGCTTTAGGTATAAGTAGTTTGAGAAAGACAAAAAATGTGCATACTATACAAGGTTAGTACTAAAGCATACAATAGAATTACAATCTCTAAATTACTTACTTAAAGGAACATTATCAGAGCTAAGTCCGCCAAAAAGAAAAAGTCTGTCATCTCCTATCGGAGTCAACGTGTGCCAGGATCGATCTTTTGGTTTCTCTCCACTGATATTAATTCTTGGTGAAACAAATAAACAAAAACAATTTTTCAAAGAATGCTGAAAAGTAACCTGCCAGAAAATTTAATAGTTAATTTAGTTTGTCCTAGAACAAGCCTGTCTATTTTCCCAGTGAAAAAGCTGCACTTATGCAATCTGAATTCACTCTTGAGAAGAACGGTGTTCAAATGTAAACCAAGTAATTGTAGAAATTGTTCTCTGAACAATCAGTTATGTAAATAGCAAATATAAGGACCAAAGCTTTGATTGTTATTTTGTTTGTTTTCTTAAGATCATAAAGCCACTCCTTAACACACAACTGAAGGCACTCAGGACAGCAAAGGCAGGCCTATATATATATTCAAATAAACTGCACAGTACATGTAGGTAAACAGACTGTTATTTGAGATAAAATTTAATGAATCCCAAGGGGCTACAGTCTCTCCACTCCTAGGAAAACGATCTTAAATGATACAAGGGTTGTAGCTTTACCTTTTATCCAAAAGCTACTACCTCTTCAACCATTGTGCCTTTTAACACGACGGTGGGTCACCCAAATTTTGAGATAAATTTTAGTAAAAACTGGAATTCCAAGTACAAAACAGGTGTAGGTTTACTATTCTAAAAATCTGGTCGTGTTACAAAAATACAGTTCTTCCAGGCGTTATCTACGGATTTCATTTTAGCTGCTCAATTAGGTATGCTTGAGATGAGAATCTGAACAGTAAAGAACCTGGTCATAAGGGATTACCGATAGTGGGTGGCCTGAATTCACATCATCTTAGTTTAGGCACTTTGGTGTACCGTTGTCTCAGGAGGATCCAGGAGAGTAAGGACCTCCAGAGGGCATCAGCCCACCTAGTATCTCGGTACTAAGCAAAGAGGCAACTTCTGTTGTAAAGCACCTAAAGTTAGACACAAAGAATCTAGGCCACCGCGCACTCAGTACATCCTCGTTTTGGAAAAATGATGGAAAAAGCAGATGCAAACACCTGTAAGCTCTCTTGGAGGACCAGAACCTTAGCTGGAGACTGTCCAGGGCGGGTAAGAAAGGAATGTTCAATCCAGGTAGACTCTATCTCAAAGAACCAGTTACCTTTTTTTTTTTTTCTCTTCCCCCCCTCCACTTTAGCAAAGTGAGGTGAGTGTAATATACACAGATGTGTGCTCAAGCTACAATATGAACAGCGCAGACAGTCATCTATATTTCCTTTATAATCAATGAAGAGAAACAGGTCCTTGAAAAGCACAACTCCTGATTTATTTTAGATGTCTACCTTAGCAGCGGTTGTCTCGTGCCCAGGAAGTGCCTATTTCTCTTCACTGAGCACAGAGGAAGCCTAGGGTGAGTAATACAGGCATCTGCAGTTCAGTTAGAGGGATTTCACTACTGGTGGCTGCTAAGCAGTTCTCCATCTGGAAGCAAAGACTGGAGAATCATGGCTAATTAAACAGCGATTGCAAAACTGTCCTACTAAATTTGGCGCTGAAGCTGAAGCCAAGTCACAATGTTTGAGTGCCTGCTTTGCACAGCTCTTGTATAAGATGCTTCTAAAATTGGCAAAAGAGGCAGACTGTGCTGAGATACAACAGGCTGCGATGTTTAGAAAAATATATACCAGGTACTGATGGGTGGTAACATTTCAATCTTTCATGCTAGTGATACAACCAGTTATCGCAGTAACAGAAATAACATAATGTTGAACATTTGAATAACAGGTCAGCGGAGCTCAGGGAAGGCAAGGTCACTTCTGGGTAGTGGCAACTAAAATAAATATTGCAGGTAGCCAGAAATAATCTTCCAAACAATTTGTGCAGAGACAGACTGTAAACTGGAGTCAAAAGGGAAATACTAATTTGATATTGTGCTGAAAGACACATTGATTTTTGCTCCTCTTGTAATTAGGAGATGAAATCACGCTAAGAGGTATTGTATGTTTGTGCATGCTGATAGATGGCCTGGTAATACGAGCTGATTTTACCACAGTAGATAATTAATAGCCACAAATAAATTAGTTGGAGAAAACATAATTGAGACCTAGGAATCCCCCCCCCTTTTTTTTCCCCCCGATTTGCAGTTGACAATGGCTAATCTAAATTCTGCCATCTGTGATAGTCTGAATTACACTTCTCACGTTTCCATAAGATCAGTCACTTTAGTAAGGGAAGAACAGTGCTTGGGCTTGTGAAGCTTCCCAGGCGGCCAGCCTTTGATTAGGTACCTCTCTAGATACGAATAAACATGAATGCTTTACCTCCTGCAAGGTGCCACCACAGCAGCAGACACTCTGCAAAGACTCTTTTTTTTATTTTCCCCTAATCTCTTAAATCTCTAAAGTCTCTCTTAAATCTCTTTTTTTCAGTCTCTCAAAGACTCTTTTGCAGAGGCGCTATACAATGGCTGGATAGTAGGATCCTAAATTTATAATTATCAGAGCCTATACTAAATCGTGGGTAAGTCTTGTGAGCTATTCTTGGATCATAATATAGAGATAATTGAGATTTGAAGGAATCTTCAGTTTTTAGGAATCGCTGCATTTAATATTACTGCCCTTAGTCTAAGGATGTGTGCGTGTGTATGTATGCAAAATCAGCCTGTTGTATTCAGGTCAAGAACAGAAAACACTTTTTAAAAACTTCAATATTCAGTTTCATATGCCAAACAGAAGGGGACACTGGCTGAGGAGGACTAAGGCAGAACTTTGACACTGACACTCCTCCTTCAGGGCTTGAAGTTCCTCTCATTGACTCGTCACTCAACTGTCACAGGTTTCCTTTTCTTAAAGCAAAATAAAGCAAGCCAAACAGCAACTACTCGTGCAACAACAACAGAAAAAAAAATGCAAGCAGCTAAACCAATAAGCTGAATAATCAATCCACTCAGAGGTAAAGTTCACAGTCTAAGAGGGACAATGCTATCATTCAGGTAGAACATTGTTAATTTTAAAACAACCAGCAAAGAGAAAGGGGAATTAAACTGATTAGTTAATCATAAGTGCTAATTAAAGAAATCTTCAAAGAGAAGTTTTTTTGAAAGGACACTGTGGGACTTCTTTGTCCTGCTGCCATCAGCAGCAAGAGGGAATGGATGGAGGATTGCGTCTACGCCCTCGCTTTGCTCAGGGCTTGGAGGGCAGAGGAGCACGCCTGGTGCGGGATGGGATCAGCAGTCACGGGTGATTAAAGATGCCCATCCGTAGGTGCATGAAGCACATGAAGCCCTGGAGCAGGATCCGTACGGACACATACTCAGGAAAGGTGTCGTTCATGGTCTTTTATGAAATTGCTATTAGGTTATCTTGAGAATAGGAACAGAACAGTGGTTATCACCCATCAGTTTCTGCTTATCTCCTGGTTTGTCTATCAGCTAACAATATATCCGATGATTCTACACGTGTAGTAGGCACTATCATAAATGCTACATGCAAACAAGCCACTCTTAGGAAGTATACCAATGCCTGATTTAGTTTAAAATTGAAATATTTAGGTCATGCTTTTTACTTGATTTTTAAAAAAATGGTTAAGATGCTTATCTTGGGGGGGAGATCCTTCCCCATTCTGTACCATAATGAGCCAAACACAGATAGTGAGAACAGTATTCAAAAAGAAATCGAAACTAAAATTCCATATGGATAAACGTACCCATCTTGAAAATGAGGATGTTAAATCACTATGTGCTGTGCTTAAAATAGCATCATCAACGCTTTGGTGCGGAACAGAAAAAGCTTAGTAACCACTATCGAATTAAATTAAATTGAAATCACAATATAACAGCTGTTAAAATAGTCCCCAAACTCCCATTCTCCTCTTTGAAAAGCTACAAAATTAGCACTGGAGCTATTTAACAGTATGTTTCAATCTGCTACATCCAACTTTTAAGTGTTATAAAGAGAAACCTACCTTCCAGACCAGGTCCAAGTGTCTAAATTCAGGCAGTGCAAATCATTCATTCTAGTTTGCTAAAACAAATAAATAAAACCCCAGTTGTGTTATATTAAGCAAACAATGAGCAAAGTATTTCAGTGAGGCCTTCCCAGGACAGAATATTCCAAGTAACAATAGTTTGAAGAAAACTGTACCCACGTGCCTTAAAACAACTTTGTATTATGTGGCAGATGAAAAGCATTTCTTCTCAAAAAGACCCATGCAACTCTGAGAAAACGACCTGTCAGGAATATTTACAGTAATGCAATGGCAGTATGGGGCCAATTTTAGCTTTTAATAGTAGTTTAATATGTGATACTGAGTTCCTGCAAATGTATTCAGTTTTCATCCATAGACTTCATGGTAGGTAATTGCAGAAGGTATAATACTCTACATAGAGTTTCCTCTCATTATTTTTCTTTGCATTCTGATCAGAACTATGCATCCTCCTGCCTGGTCACTTATTCCTTGAAATATTCTAGTACGTATTGTACTCAGTACATGACATCCCACAAAAAGTTCATCACATCTGTGGTTTTCTCTCCTTTCCGGAAGGCAAGCCCTTTCACAAAGTTACTACTAGCAATAACAAGGTTTTATGACCCTTTAATATTTGCCATAAAAACAATGTGTCAATAAGAGCAATGGGAGATCAATACACTTGCGTATCTGCCTGTGTTTTGAGATGAAGAAAGTAACTGCCTTAGAAACATAAGGGGGGGAATATAAGAAAAAATTTCCTTGCTTTAGATTGTAGCAATGTTTTCAATGGCTCGCAATACACTTGACTGATATTTGTGATTCCCCTAGGTACTATAAAA